GTGAAGGTTACAAGATACTTTGGCATGACAAGTAAGTCCTACAAGTTCCACCTTCAAAAGAAAAGGCTAAGATTAGAGAAAAGTTCTGAAAAAATAATCCAATTCTCAAACACAACAGGACATGTCATTCACACTAAAGTTAAGAGTAGCAGGTGCACACCTCCTTGGGCAGACCCCATAGTCGGTGAAGATAGAAATCCGACTTAGATGCAATGATACCAGGCGCTAGGCTTTCAGTCCCTCGAGGATTAGTTGGAATCCAAATCTGCTTTGCAATCAGAAGTCCCTCGAGGCTTTTAGACCCCATACACTAGTAAAAAAAAATGTTTGCACGACGGAATCTTGCGCGACGCACCAAATTTCGTCGCGCAAAGTATGTTTGCGCGACCTAAAAGACAAAGCGTCGCGCAAACAGCCTTTGCGCGACCCAGGAACTTGTGGGTCACGCAAAACACTTTGCATGACGCCAGCCTTCGTCGCGCAAAGTACCGTCGCGCAATATCTTGGCGCCAAACAAAGAATGTTTTACCGCTTTTTTGCCAACTTTGCGCGACGCATGTGCACATGCGTCGCGCAAAGGTGTTTTGCGCGACGCATGTGCAAGTGCGTCGCGCAAAGTCAACGACTTTTCTTACTCCACTTAATCAGTTTGGGAGGCAGAAACTGCAAACCCAGTTGCAGCAGCTACCTCCCTCCTCCATCTCTCTTCAAAACCTTCTCCAATCAATCCCGTTGATATCAAAGTGAGTCAAATTTCACCTTGTTTTTAGATTGATCCCATTTCTAAGTTCTATTTGTTTGCGGAGAAAATGAGGGAAATGATGATTTTATTGTTTGCTCCTCTCTCTGTTTTGTTCCTCCAATTCCAACAAAACTTAAAAATTTATAGCAATATAATGTAATGATTGTGTTCATTTGTAGCAATATAACTTGAAAATTTGTAGCAATACACACACACACACACACACACACACACATGTGGTTTGCACAATTAGTTATATTTAACTTGAAAATTTGTAGCAATACACACACACACACACACACACACACATGTGGTTTGCACAATTAGTTATATTTCTCTAGAACTGTAAAACTCATTTACATACTGCTTTTTTCTTTGGTTGGAACTTGGAAGGACATGGTGGTGACAAATCTTGTTGGTATTATATGTTGTTAGGGAGGTCTCTGGGATGATTATAAACACCTGTCAGTAATTAGCTCACATTGCTTTTAATGCTCTGTTTCATTTATTATTGCAGTCTAATAATTTTGATTGGCAGTCTAATAATTTTGATTGACAACTTGCCATATTATGTACTTTTATTCTCCCACTCTTTTGATACTGCAGAGAGGAAGAAACTTCTAGATTACTGATCATATTAGTCTACTATGATGTTGTGTTGTTAAAGAGTGATTCTCTACTAATTCTTTTCTTGAATTATTAATGTTCAGGTTGTTTTTCTTGAACCTGCTGATGCTCAAGCAGCTTTTAAGGGTTTAGCATATAAGCGCTACAAGTAAGTGTTGCAAAATATTGTATGTAGGATCCATTTTTCATGTTGTATCCTCTTTGTTGGGGGTTTTGTGTGTTTCTTTCTTTTCTTTTTTTTTGGGAGGGGGGGTGGTGGTGGGCGGAGTGGGTGGTGGCTGCTGCCTGCTAATATTCTCATAGTTTTGAAACAGAAAATTCAAAATGCATTTCCACATGATGAAGTTGTAGGTTTTGTTGTAGGGTGTGGTCCGTGTGGAGAGTATACTTAGGATCAACATATTAAAAATAAATTCCAGAAAATAAGAGGAATATCATCTTTTCATAGTTCATCAGTAGAGTACATAGGTGTTTAAATAGACAGCAATACACCAGTTTTCCTAGTATTATTCTCTAGAATCATCCTTATTTGAAATGTTCATGATTAGTAGTTTTCCAAACCAGAACCAGCTTGTTTCTCAGACTTAATAGAGTCAATGCTAGAGGGCTTGAGTTAAACACTGTGTTTCTAAGCCCTTTAATTTTCGCATTAAGTAATTGTCATTAAGAACCTTAAGGATAGTAATTGGTCACAATGCACATTTTAGTTCAATTCAAGTTTCCCTTCACTTTTATAAACTGCTGCAATTATTTACTATCATCGTCATCATAATTTACATGGTTTATGATATCTTGCTATGATTTTAAAATATTTAAGAATTATTTTATTCATCTGAAAAGTTCAATAGTCCCATGTAATACCATGTGTCCTAATGGTTCTCAAGGGGTTCACAACCGAGAGAAGAAGAAAAAATTCCAAATGAATTGATTGAAATTTATATTGTGGGCGAGGATTTATATTAGAGGCTTATATGAAAGAAAGTTCATTTTGACTCTTGAGTACCCCAAGGTGTTTGTGAAACAGTCATGTAACCAATCCCAGTCTTTGGGCTTTGTTGAGTTTGTTTCCATATAGGAGCTGGTAGTAATTACTCTAGCTCTTAAGGTACACTACCATTCATTTGTAAATTTGTGTATAATTGTATAAAGCCATCTGGCAACAAACAAACGGCGGAGAGAGTCAAAGTTCACCCTTGCTTACAGTCTTTCTTGCATAAACTTAATACATGGGAAAACATGTATATGAATCATTCAAAGAAGTCAGCTTAAGCTTTAACATGAAATTTTTTGCAATGTTAGTTAGATACCTGAACCAAATAAGTTGCACCAACTCGGTTGAAGCGGAGATCCAACATCAATTCCAGCATATTTTTGGCATGATGAAGTGATTCTTGTTGCAGTTTGTTCATTGTACCATTTCCTGGGAAACAATGAGGCCAATAAACAGTTAATACTGCCCACAATTCCTGGGAAAATGTTTTAGTAAATGTTTTAGTAAGTGAAGAATGTTTAACAGAAAGGCTGCTAAATACTTTCTAGTCCAGAAGCAACACTTTTGAATCTAAATAAGCGTAGGCTAGAAATCACACGCTATTAGTAGTACCTAACTCATTGTGAGAAAGGTCTACCATTGCAAATGTTTTATTGGCATGCAGGGCATCCAACAATGGCATTAATGAAAAGTCTTGCAGTCCGCAATCGGACACATAAACATCATCATCTGAAATCACACACACACACGTGCACGCATACTTTTCTAGTTATTTAGCTGCTTTTATAATGTAATGATGCTTCTGAGTGTGTTAGTGGTATGATTGTGTTCATTTGTCTGAATAATGTACATTTGGAGCTTAAATTTTTTATTAATTCATTTTTAATTTGAATTTTCCACCTTGCTTAGCCGAAAAAGAAGAAAAAACAGTTTTTTTTAGCTTAGATTGGTTGGATGAACTGGAGTAAAAACTACTTGATATGAAATGGAACTTAGAGCTAATCAAGCTACAATTATTAAGCAGCACGTTGCTTTGTGGAAATAGACATATAGCAATAAGAGGAAATATCGAATCCTTTGTTGATTTTTTTTTTTTCTGTTTCTACACCCATTATTATCAATTCTTTCATGATTTCTGTTATTAGGAATTCATGAAAGAATTGAGAACAATGGTGAGATGTTAGGAATTCATGGTGAGATGTTATGTAGATGAGAGTTTTTAACTTCTCATTCCTGTTATTGCTGTGTGGCAACTCAATTTGGCTTTATCTTACTATGTGATTCTAGGAAGCTAGTGCCATTCCTTTTGCTTCTCTAACTGCTTGGCGAGCCCTCGTAAGTACTGCTAGGAAAGCTAAGGGGTATGTTATCTCGGATATTAACTTCCTTCCTTTGATGTATCATGATTCTTTTGTTAAAGCTGTTGTCATCAGGAAGCCATTGTCATTTTCTTTCTTTTTTTCGATTGCAAAAGCTGTTATCGTTTTCACATGGGGGTAAATGTTTCTTTCAGTAATGAAATTTGTTTCACTATACTAGAGATGTTGAACTTTTGTGTCCAAACTTTTACCATCTTCCCAGCATTTTTTAGGTAAAAGGTATAAAAGAAAGTATGACATTTATTTTTGATGCTGTGTCTTTACGAAACATGGATTGAGAGGTAGCTGAAGCTTTATATTATTTTGGTGTAGGGATTTGATTATTGTATCTTATCTCGGTGGAAGCTATCATTAACAATTTTGCATCCTTTTGTTATTGCATCTTATCTCTACAGCCAACGGCTGTTAGTTGTGGGTGGTGGAGGAGTTGTAGGTTTGGCCGCAATTCAGATTTGAGATGTCACAGTGTACGTAAATCACTTTATTTTCTTCGCTATATTAATTTTTATTAATTTATTTTATTTTATTTAGTTTTAGTAATTATTGTGATTTAGTTTATTTGTATGCACATATTTTTGTACATCACCTGCAAAATTGTTTTGTGTTGTACGAAGTTAATATTACTTAACTTCGTACAATTTTTTTTCTTCAAGAAAAGCTTAGTTTCCCGTTTGAGAATTAGTTGGATTTCGTGCATGGATGCGAAAGCATGACTGCGGTCCAATTAATTCTTGAATTGTCCCATTTTTTGGACAGTTTGGGAATGCATAGTTATGTGTTGTAATTTGCGGTTCATGGATTAGGTTTCGATAATGGAAATTTTGGTAACATTTCCTGATGTTCTTCGAGTACACGGTGGATATTATGTATCTACGGCGTGCACTTGAAGAACTATAAGGAGATGCTGCCAAAATTAACCCATGTCGAAGTTTAATCCATTGGAATCGTAAATTACGGCACATAACTGTGCATTCCTGAATGGGATAGAGCCCTTACCGGAGGAATAAGGTGACAAGACAATAGTTGAATTTGTTGTAATTCTTGTCCTTTTATTGGGATTGCAGACAAAATGGACAGACAGTGGATACATAATCATAATAGATGTGATGTTGAGTACTTGGATGGAATAGAAAAGTTCATTGAATTCGCAACTAGTCATAACATAGGTTCAACTCATATCCGATGTCCGTGTAGGAGATGTCACAACTCAATGTGGGAGACATTCTCGAATGTTCGATTTCATTTAGTAAGAAATGGGATGATGGAGACGTATACTACTTGGTATCATCATGGAGAACGATTAGACCAAGCTTCGTCTTCATACGTGACACGAGTGGAAACTGTTGAATCTAATGTGGATCCTAATGAACAAGTTATGAATATTCTAAATGACGTTTATCCATATGCCTCGAGTAACACCAATCAGGAAGGGGGAGATGACGGTTGTCCAACCATGGATAGTGAGGCATTCAAAAACTATGAAAAACTATTGAAAAATGCGAAGCAAGAATTATATCCGGGTTGCGAGAACTTTTCGGTGCTCACAGCAATTGTGGAGTTGATGCATGGCAAGATCAAGTTTCGTTTGTCAAACAAGTGTTTTGATTATTTTTTGGGAGTTATCAAGAGGATGCTTCCAAAGGAGAATTGTTTACCTGAAGATCATAAAAGTGCCCAAAAAGTGTTGAAGGGTCTCGGATTGGGGTATGAAAAAATTCACGCATGTGTAAATAATTGTATATTGTTTTATAAAGAGAACAAACAATTGGATAAATGCCCTGTCTGCAATGAGCCGAGGTTTAAAATGACATCACAGAATAGAAAGACCAAGATTCCACAAAAAGTAATGCGTTATCTTCCATTGAAGCCTAGGTTGCAGCGATTGTACATGTCGATGCATACCGCAACCGACATGAGATGGCATAAAGAAGGACGAGTAAATGATGATGTTATGAGGCATCCTGCAGATGGAGAGGCATGGAAAGCATTCGATCGAATGTACCCTGATTTTGCAGCTGACCCGCGCAACGTCAGATTAGGACTTGCCACTGACGGATTTAATCCGTTCGGGGTTTTAAATCAAACCCACAGCACTTGGCCGGTTGTCGTATTTCCTTATAATCTGCCACCTTGGAAGTGCATGAAAAAAGAATACATGATGTTGACTCTATTAATTACTGAAGATCCAGGAAAGTCCATTGATGTTTATTTGCGGCCGTTGGTTGATGAGCTAAAAGATTTATGGGAAAACGGTGTTTGTACGTACGATAAGTATACTGGGCAGATGTTTACCATGCGAGCGGCAGTGATGTGGATAGTAAACGATTTTCCCGCATATGCAATGGTTTCTGGGTGGATGACTAAGGGTTATTTGGCATGTCCAATATGCAAGGAGAACGTAACATCTTCTTGGCATGCAAGAAAAGTTTGTTATCTTGGTCATCGTAGATGGCTTCCTTGGGACAATGAGTGGCGTCAGAACGATAAAGCTTTCCATGGCACAAAAGAGACTCGGCCAAGACCAAGAGAATGGTCCGGAGATGAGATTTTGGATCAATTAAACTGTTTGGAATTTGGTCATTTCGGCAAAGGGGTCAGTAAGCCTAGACCAACTACACATCTGAACTGGACGCACAAGAGTATGTTATTTGAGCTCCCGTACTGGTCAAAGTTAAAAATGAGACACAACCTCGATGTTATGCATATTGAGAAAAATGTGTTTGATACTTTGGTCGGGACAATTCTAGACATTGAAGGAAAAACGAAGGACACGATCGAAGCTCGCCTCAATTTGGAATGAATGGGCATTAGGTCATCCTTGTGGATGAAGAGAGTTGGTGGTACATTGAAGAAAGGCCATCCTTTTTTTACAGTTAAGCCGAATGGGAAAAAAGAGTTTTTCAACTTTATTTCTTCTGTAAAGTTTCCAGATGGGTATGCTTCTAATATCTCGCGTTGCGTGAACATGAGAGGGTGTAAATTTTCAAACATGAAGAGTCATGACTGTCATGTGATACTACAACGCCTTCTTCCGGTTGGTATTCGACACTTATTGCCTCTTGATGTGGTGAAACCAATCGTGTTGTTGTCGAGATTTTTTTCGCAATTGACTGCAAGATGTTTGCGGAAGTTGGATGTTAAACAATTGCAGGACGACATTGTGAACGTTTTATGCAAGTTCGAACAGATATTTCCCCCAGCTTTCTTCACAAGTATGATTCACGTGATGATTCACTTGCCAGATGAGGCATTGCTTGCCGGACCAGTGAACTATCGATGGATGTATCCAATAGAAAGGTACTTAATTAAGCGTCTATATATATAACAGATTCATGATCAACGAACACTTTGAATTATTTGTAGCATACCTTTTATTTGTGCAGATATCTTGGTGAGTTGAAAAAGTGTGTTCGAAACAGGGCAAAGCCCGAAGGATCACTTGTGGAGGCATGGGTCGCATATGAGTCACTTACTTTTTGTGCAATGTATCTTGAAGATGTTGAGACAACTTTCAATCGTCCTCAACGCAATAATGACGGTGGTGTCAGAAAAGAGAAACTGTTTGTTTTTGCCCAAATTGCACGACCATTCGGCAATCCTGTAAAAGGTGAATCATTTACCAAAAAGGACATGGAGATAGCACATTGGTTCATACTTAACAATTGTGATGATGCTTTGCCATACCTTGAAGAGCATGAACAATTGATGAAGCGGGAACATCCTTCACATTTATATGCCAAGAAGCACCGTGACTTGTTTCCTTCATGGTTTCACACACATGTAAGTTGTATGTGGTCTGAATTGAGCATATTTTCCAACTTGTTCATGCCCGTCTTTAAATTTGGTTACACTAACAGGTTAACTTTTTGTATATGTTATATTAGATGAACAAATTGAAGGCATTGAATTCACCCTCTTACGATGAAGAATTATATAACTTGGCGAGAGGACCGCTTCACGTTGAATTGTTCTCAGGTTGTCATGTCAACGGGATCAAGTTCTTGGGGGCAACACGTGATGACAAGTTGTCCACTCAAAATAGTGGTGTTCATGTCCCGGGTGCGGGCGACAGTGAAGACATTGATTTTTATGGCAAACTAACTAGTGTAGTACAATTGCTTTACAAAGACAGGTGTCAAGTGATACTATTTAAGTGTCTTTGGTTTGATACAAACCCACATAACCGAACAAGTGTTAAGCGAGACCATGGTCTACTATCAGTAAACACTACGAGACATTGGTACGATGAAGACCCATACATTTTGGCAACAATGGCGAAACAAATATTCTATCTAGACGACCCTAAAGCCGGCAATGGTTGGAAAGTTGTTCAGAAGATTGATCGAAGAGGGCTATATGATATTCCAGAAGTAGATCATGATGACAATGACGACAACGTTGCTGACCAACAGTTATCATCTTCGATAGAAATTGGTGAAGAAACACTCCGGGATACTAATATTGTCCAAGAACCGTTTGACGTACCTGGAGTTCCCGAATTTGAAATATCAATTGACCTTGGTGATCTGCCTCAATACAATGCACTGGAAGAGGCAAACGAAGATGAAGACGAATGGGAATCTGAAAATGATAGTAGTGAGGATAGCGAGAGTTATTATTGTAGTTCGGATGAGGATTAATATAAACTTGTAAAGGATAGCGAGAGGATACACGCATGTTTCGAGTTGGCTTGGATGTCTTCGAGGTAAAAAACCACACCTAATTCCTTGTTGTATTCAACCTTTTTCGAACGCTATCTCTGATATTTGAGTGGTTTGTGAATGAAGTTGCATTAGGATGAGCCTTACATGAAGCCTGGGCTTGCCGAGTTGAAAAATGTTGTTGTGGTACCTCACATTGCTTCCGCTTCCAAGGTAATTACCGTCCATATTAGTTCAAACACATTAGGGAATGAGCTTTCTAATTTTAAGAACATAAAGATTTGTTACCTTATCAAACGAGGAGCTTTCTGATTTTAAATACTCGTCCCCTGATTTTAACCTTTTTCCTGTTGATTTTATGAATGTGAGTTTTTAAATTGCTACTTTAAAAAACCAGGGGATAACGGTCGACCCCATTTTTCTTACTGCGGATCATGTTCTTGGGATGATTTTTATTAAATTTTTCTGTAGATCTGCTTGTCATTTTTGTTTCTGTGACAAGATTATCATGAACTGCTGTAGAGATGTTCTTATGTTATTCTGACCAAGTGTGTTATGCATTTTGCTCTTGGCATCCAAAATTGACAAGCTTTTTGTTCTTGGTGATGTTTGATGACTTAGTTTGCTTTAAACGAAATGTAGGACACAGTTGTTCAAGGATCGCTTGTGTTAGTAAAGTTAGAAGGCAGGGTTCATTACTAGAGAGAGCATATGCCTGGGAACAAGTACAACGGTAATTCAGCCCACATCCCACCAACTCGAGTTGAACGGCTCTTGAGAGAAAGGGAGCTAAGGAAAAATAACAAGGCCTTAAACTTGGATGAAACATTTGAACCTGAGTTGTAGTTAAGAGAAGATGAAAACTCAAATGCTGCCCATGTTGAACGATTCTTGGAAGGGGCTGCAGCTGCAAGGGCGCTTAATGAGGGATACGAAAACCAAGACCGGAGGCCTAGCAGACAACAACTGTTGGTTGTGGCGAACAGGTTACCTGTCTCTGCAATTAGAAGAGGTGAAGATTCATGGTCTCTGGAGATGAGTGCAGGGGGTCTGGTCAGTGCACTTTTGGGTATGTGGTGTTTTAACTCTTCTTTAAATACTGATAATCCTTTTTCGAAGTGTCTGTTCCTGTGTGTATCATTTTAATACAGGGGACAAGATTTTTAGTTGTGTTGATATCCTTTTCATTTTAAGATTATGAACCTAATTTGTACTGGATGATTTTTTCCAAAGGTGTAAAGGAGTTTGAGGCAAGGTGGATTGGTTGGGCCGGGGTAAATGTGCCGGATGAAATTGGACAGAAGGCTCTTACTAGAGCTCTTGCTGACAAGGTTCAAAATTTTGTCATTCATAGATATGGATTCAGCTCATTTTCACTGATTGATGATGTATACAACTTTCGGTGTAAATGTTCATGAAATTTTAAAATGGTTGTTTTGTTCCTTGCAGAGATGTATTCCAGTTTTCCTTGACGAGAGCCCCGCAAAACAAATGGTTGTTTTAGTCAGAACCAGAGCCCCGCAAACAGCCTTGAGCTGGTTCACTTCACTCAACATCTCCAGGTGTGATTCTCTGTTTCCTGGATGAATTACTGGATTTTGCTTCCTGGGTTTTGTTGTAAATGTTTAAAAAATATTTGGGTTGGTGTTGCTTTGAGGATTATATGCAATTTTGGATTTTGGGTTTTCTTGTTTTGTTGATATCTGCCTTTGTGGTTCAAAAAAGTCGCAATCTTTTGCTCTGTGTGATCGAATGTTTTGGTTTGTTTTTGGATGATGATGAACTTGATTTGTTTAGGCTGATTGATCGATGCCGATGATTTTTGTAGACTCGGATAACTGGAAATATGTGTGTTTTTTTAATCATCGTGGATGGTTTGTTTTGGTCTGCAGTTATGAAAATTTCCATCCTTGTTTTGTCTTTAATTGGATCGATGTTCCCATGTCATCAACCTCTGTAAAATGTTTTGCATTTGGCTTTTAACTCAAAGACATACTGTACTTGTAAATTTGTGTAATTGTCGATGATAAGAGTGGAATATCTGTATCTGATGATGTTTCTGTAGTAGCATTTGTTATGATTGAACAAAAATACTGGGGGATTGGTTTTAGGCGGCCATATTCCTGCCGTATAATTGAAGAATTTGACAATTTTTGTATGTCTTACTTGTAATGGCGTTTCTAGCGATAATCTTTACAGTTTCGGTTTCCCCATTTTATGGCAGATCTATTCATGGGGTACCCTTTGCAACCGATGAAGTGGAAGAGATATCGGGTTCACAGCCTGCTGAAGTTCTCAACTTGGGTATGTTCACACATTTTAGCAGTATGTGTCATTTGCAGTTGAAATTGGTTCCCATGAAGTGCTCCGCACTCAGAACAGTCATTGGTCTTGGAGTTATAACTGAAGACTAAAAACTTGAACAATTTCCTTGCATCAACTTTTTTGATAGTATTTCCTTTGTTAACTTTTAATACAATGGTGTGTGGACCTCTTCATTTAAACTGACTGGGAAAAAAAATTAAGGAATGAAATCTATTAAAAAAGAAATGTCGTATTTTTCCAGTGCAGGGTAAATGGAAGAACACTAATAGATGGAACACAATTTGGGATCCTTTAAATGGGGAGCCATTCATTAGAGTTTGTGAAGTTGATGAAACGGGAATACAGGTATGCCTGCAGATTGTAGTGACCGTAAATATATCTTTTGCTATTTATGACCGCAACTATTTTATTTTTAATTGTTGAACTGGTATTGCAGCCGTTTGTGGAGAGCTTGTCCAGGTGCCCGAAACATGGTCTTCACAATCCGTTCAAAGCACCAGAGAGGTTTGTGTTTATTATCATTATGTTCCTTTATTCTCATTCATTTGTAGGCATCATGTGTTTCCTTGGATTTCACAAATAGATATCATATCAAGGCATATAATTTCAACAACTTTTCTGTTAGAGTTTGATAGTGATATTCTTTAAAATTTGAAAGCAAAATGAAACCGATAATCCATTTTTTTCAGGTATCTTATGCTTGGGGACATATCTGCAAAGGCAGGTCACATGCTTTCCTTGCCAAAGGTAACAATTGTACAGCAGACATTATTCTTGTTCTTTTACCTTTTTCCTGTATTTGAATTGAGACTTATGTAGTTCAACCTTCTGACATATATGGTAGTTTCATTAATAATTTTATGATTGTATGGCTGTCAGGTTTCTGATTTCTTCACAAGATTAATACAAAGGGTTGCTCCAAAGAGTTACCATCAGGCTTCTGGTGAAGTTTATGTCACTCAAAAATTTCTTGAGAATTTCTCCAGCGATCAGGTACATTCAGCGCAGTTGACCTTTATGTTTTCGGTGTATATATGAAATGTTACTGTACTCGTATACCTTGTCCCACATGGTATAGGCGTAGAATAACATTTCATTTATATACTCTCGGTTTAAGCACAGTACAATTCCACTGCTGTAATCAAATTCACATAAAATCCTCTTTCAAGTTTCGTTACTATCTTGGTTAACACATATGTGGCAGGTCCGCTTCCTTGCAAGATCTTTTGGGGTGCCTGGAAATCATCTTGGACAGCAAAGTCATGGTTTCCGTTGGCCTTATGGTCCTGTAAGCATCATCTTTGAACATACTTGGTTTTTTTGTTTGTACCCCCAAAACCTTAAGCTCTTAGAACAAATTTTGTTATTTTCATAGTTGGATATGATAAACGACTCGTTTTGCAGGTTGCAATCATTACTCCCTTTAATTTTCCACTACAAATTCCTGTACTTCAGTTGATGGCTGCACTTTATATGGGTAACAAACCAGTCCTCAAAGTTGATAGTAAGGTATGCTAGGCTAACATTCTGAGTCTAAATCAATTGTTTGATCTATTTGAAACCCTTTATAGTTAGCTTTTAGATACTTTTTTCTCTTTGCGATCTCTTCTCGTTATAATTTAACTGGTGAGCAACATTTTTTTTGTAGGTAAGCATTGTTATGAAGCAAATGATGAGGCTGCTTCATTACTGTGGGCTACCGACAGAGGATGTTGACTTCATAAATTCTGATGGGCAGACAATGAACAAGCTACTATTAGAGGTTGGTTCAATGTGCAAATAAATTATTTTGAAACTGTGCAATAATCTCTGGAAGAGACCGCTCATAGCTTTCATCCACATATTTGCGTTCCTAGAGGTTACACTACTAACTTATGACGTGTTGATTGAATGAACATTTTACTTCTATTGTGTTAACAGGGAAATCCACGAATGACCCTTTTCACTGGTAGCTCAAGAGTGGCAGATAAGTTGGCTGGTGACCTGAAGGGTCGTGTTAAGTTGGAAGATGCAGGATTTGACTGGAAGATTTTAGGGCCTGACGTTCATAAGGTTTCTTACAACAATTTTATGTTTCTAGAGTATACAACTCTTTCTTTGTAGAGTCACGTCTGTTATTGATTTATCCGTTTCCATTTCTTATCGCAGGAAGACTATGTTGCATGGGTCTGTGATCAGGATGCATATGCATGTAGTGGTCAGAAGTGCTCTGCACAATCGATGCTCTTCATCCATGAGGTAAGACTTTCGATTTGATATCGCGATACATACCCATCATCAAATGCCTAAAGATCGAGTCCAGAAAGGGCCTCCTGATTGCAATCCTATTGCGCTTCCTCTTTGTTCCAGCGTACTACTTCACAGGAAAGTACGCTGACCAAGGGTGGATGATCTTGCTGACATCAATCTTAGGATTAACAAATGGTTATCTCACTATCTGTGTCATGACAGTGGCACCCAAAGGCTACAACGTACGTAACCTGTTCCGAATATAACATATGTTTTCACGGTTTCTAATGAAATCAAATCAAAATTAATTTCTGGTTGTTTGATTTGCAGGGACCTGAGCAAAATGCCTTGGGAAATATACTTGTTTTGTTTCTTTTGGGAGGCATATTTGCAGGGGTTTGCCTTGACTGGTTGTGGCTCATTGGTAAGGATAAATTCTAAGGAGCAAAAGTGTGGGATTGAAGAAAGAAAGTTGCTCGTTTGAATACTAATTTCGTGCTTCCGATGGATTGAAGAACGATTAGGAACTACGAATTGCAACCGTGTAAATGATTTGCTTTGGGTGTATAGTTTGATATACCTTGTTTAAAAATCCATAACTTTTCATGTCATTGATTTGTAGAACTTTTATTCTTACTTGAATGAGAGAGAGATATGCAGTGTGACATGAAGATATATTGCGGCCAAACATTATACACAGATCTTACTATAACTAAGCCGCAAATAAGCAGGAAATTTCGTTGACCCAGTCATTGACTCTCTACCGCGTAACAAGGGCATATCTGATAGAGAGAATATACTTTTGGTTATACTCAAGATTTTACTTATTCACCTTGCTAATTTTGTACGGAGGGTAAACTGTAGCACTAGTAGAAAAATCATCAAAATTTTAAGTGATGATGTTATTGACCTTGCTCAATATTCGTGTTACCAGTGCGGGAGTGCGGGAGTTTAGGGTACCTTTACAACTTTTAAATAGAAAATTAAGACGGAATATGACGGGTGCGGCAAATTTCTGTTTTTTTGTTTCTCTATGCATGAATGTTCCATCATTCCCGTTTCTCTATGCATGAATGTTCCATCATTCCCGCTAGGCCTGGCAATTTCTGACACGACCCGATAACCCGACACGACACGACACGAAATTAACAGGTGTTTGGGTCGACACGATAACGAATCGAGTCGTTATCGGGTAACCCGATAAGCACCTGTTAAGATAACGGGTTGGTTCGGGTATACACGTGGGTAACACGATACACGATAAGCAGAATATTATTTTTATAATTTTATAACCCTAAAAAAATACTGTAATAATTATATACATTAATTTTACAATTTTATACCCCTAAAAATTATAATATATATATATATATATATTAAATTAACTATAAAATTTATAATAATTATAATAATTATATATACTATAATAATTATACCCCCAAAATATTAAGTCTATCTATAATAATTATATATATATATATATATATATTAAATTTTATAAAAACTATAATAATTATTAATTAATAATTTAATATGCATGATGCATTGCATGATTTTGCATCCATTGAAATTTGATGTGATTTCTTTCCATTCAAATTTCAATAATCAATTTGTTGCCGTTGCCAACTTGCCGCCATTTTTGAAAAAAAAAATGGACGGAAAATGAAAATGTTAAGAAAAGTTGAAAATAAAACAAAAAAAGTGAGGGAATTAGGGAAAGATGTTGGTGGGAAAAGTGAAAATGATAAGAAAAAGTTGAAAAGGAAACAAAAATGAGAGGGAAAAATGAAAATTAATAGAAGTGGTGAGAAATTTTTTTTTTTTTTTATTTAAGTTATTAACTTTTTATCACACACATGACTGTCATGACATATCTCACTATTTTTATAATGACACACGTGACACGTGATGTATGTACTATTCCGTGAACTAGTCAATTATAATTTATACATACAAAATAAATAGATTTAAATCCACTTAATAAATATATATACACACACACACACAGAACTTGATTGATGGCATACGAATTCTCCAAAACTAATTTAAACGATCCCAACCGTCAAACTTTTTTGTATAAGCTTTGAGATCACATCAACAAAAAATCATAAAAAATAAACATTCAAAGATCAAGTAACGGGACAAAGCTTTTCAACGGTTATAAACAAAAAATCACGATTTAACGGTTATTTGAACTCCGATTTTGATGATTTTTTATAACTACACTCCTTGACCCTATATGAATACAATGAATGAATTCGATCTTCAATTTAAAATATTTACACAAGTGGATACCACAAAATCTTATGTTACACTTAATGAAAGTATAAATAAACTCTAAGTGTTAGTCAATCTATCGTTTTACGAATTCTCCAAAACTAATTTCAACGATCCAAACCGTCAAAATTGTTTGCATATGTTTGGAGATCACATCAGCAAAAAATCACAAAAAAAAAACATTCAGAGATCAAGTAACGGGACAAAGCTTTTCAACGGTTATAAACGAAAAATCACTATTTAACGGTTATTTTAGCTCCGATTTTGATGATTTTTTATAACTACACTCCTTGAACCTATATGAATACGATGAATGAATTCGATCTTCAATTTAAAATATTTACACAAGTGGATACCACAAAATCTTATGTTATACTTAATGAAAGTATAAATAAACTCTAAGTGTTAGTCAATCTATCGTTTTACGAATTCTCCAAAACTAATTTCAACGATCCAAACCGTCAAAATTGTTTGTATATGTTTGGAGATCACATCAGCAAAAAATCACAAAAAAAAACATTCAGAGATCAAGTAACGGGACAAAGCTTTTCAACGGTTATAAACGAAAAATCACGATTTAACGGTTATTTTAGCTCCGATTTTGATGATTTTTTATAACTACACTCCTTGACCCTATATGAATACAATGAATGAATTCGATCTTCAATTTAAAATATGTACACAAGTGGATACCACAAAATCTTATGTTATACTTAATGAAAGTCTAAATAAACTCTAAGTGTTAGTCAATCTATCGTTTTACGAATTCTCCAAAACTAATTTCAACGATCCAAACCGTCAAAATTGTTTGCATATGCTTGGAGATCACATCAGCAAAAAATCACAACAAAAAAACATTCAGAGATCAAGTAACGGGACAAAGCTTTTCAACGGTTATAAATGAAAAATCACGATTTAACGGTTATTTTAACTCCGATTTTGATGATTTTTTGTAACTACACTCCTTGACCCTATATGAATACAATGAATGAATTCGATCTTCAATTTAAAGTATTTACACAAGTGGATACCACAAAATCTTATGTTATACTTAATGAAAGTCTAAATAAACTCTAAGTGTTAGTCAATCTATCGTTTTACGAATTCTCCAAAACTAATTTCAACGATCCAAACCGTCAAAATTGTTTGCATATGCTTGGAGATCATATCAGCAAAAAATCACAACAAAAAAACATTCAGAGATCAAGTAACGGGACAAAGCTTTTCAACGGTTATAAACGAAAAATCACGATTTAACGGTTATTTTAACTCCGATTTTGATGATTTTTTGTAACTACACTCCTTGACCCTATATGAATACAATGAATGAATTTGATCTTCAATTTAAAGTATTTACACAAGTGGATACCACAAAATCTTATGTTATACTTAATGAAAGTATAAATAAACTCTTAGTGTTAGTCAATCTATCGTTTTACGAATTCTCCAAAACTAATTTCAACGATCCAAACCATCAAAATTGTTTGTATATGTTTGGAGATCACATCAGCAAAAAATCACAAAAAAAAAACATTCAGAGATCAAGTAACGGGACAAAGCTTTTCAACGGTTATAAACGAAAAATCACGATTTAACGGTTATTTTAACTCCGATTTTGATGATTTTTTATAACTACACTCCTTGACCCTATATGAATACAATGAATGAATTCAATCTTCAATTTAAAATATTTACACAAGTGGATACCACAAAATCTTATGTTATACTTAATAAAAGTATAAATAAACACTAAGTGTTAATCAATTTATCGTATTACAAATTCTCCAAAACTAATTTCAACGATCCAAACCGTCAAAATGGTTTGTATATGCTTGGAGATCACATCAGCAAAAAATCACAAAAAAAATACATTCAGAGATCAAGTAACGGGACAAAGCTTTTCAACGGTTATAAACGAAAAATCACGATTTAACGGTTATTTTAACTCCGATTTTGATGATTTTTTATAACTACACTCATTGACCCTATATGAATACAATGAATGAATTCGATCTTCAATTTAAAATATTTACACAAGTGGATACCACAAAATATTATATTATACTTAATAAAAGTATAAATAATCTCTAAGTGTTAGTCAATCTATCGTTTTACGAATTCTCCAAAACTAATTTCAACGATCCAAACCGTCAAAATTGTTTGTATATGCTTGGAGATCACATCAGCAAAAAATCACAAAAAAAAAACATTCAGAGATCAAGTAACGGGACAAAGCTTTTCAACGGTTATAAACGAAAAATCACTATTTAACGGTTATTTTAGCTCCGATTTTGGTGATTTTTTATAACTACACTCCTTGACCCTATATGAATACAATGAATGAATTCGATCTTCAATTTAAAATATGTACACAAGTGGATACCACAAAATCTTATGTTATACTTAATGAAAGTATAAATAAACTAAGTGTTAGTCAATCTATCGTTTTACGAATTCTCCAAAACTAATTTCAACGATCCAAACCGTCAAAATTGTTTGTATATGTTTGGAGATCACATCAGCAAAAAATTACAAAAAAAAAACATTTAGAGATCAAGTAACGGGACAAAGCTTTTCAACGGTTATAAACGAAAAATCACGATTTAACGGTTATTTTAACTCCGATTTTGATGATTTTTTATAACTACACTCCTTGACCCTATATGAATACAATGAATGAATTTGATCTTCAATTTAAAATATTTACACAAGTGGATACCACAAAATCTTATGTTATACTTAATAAAAGTATAAATAAACACTAAGTGTTAATCAATCTATCGTATTACAAATTCTCCAAAACTAATTTCAACGATCCAAACCGTCAAAATTGTTTGTATATGCTTGGAGATCACATCAGCAAAAAATCACAAAAAAAAAGCATTCAGAGATCAAGTAACGGGACAAAGCTTTTCAACGGTTATAAACGAAAAATCACGATTTAACGGTTATTTTAACTCCGATTTTGATGATTTTTAATAACTACACTCATTGACCCTATATGAATAGAATGAATGAATTCGATCTTCAATTTAAAATATTTACACAAGTGGATACCACAAAATATTATGTTATACTTAATAAAAGTGTAAATAATCTCTAAGTGTTAGTCAATCTATCGTTTTACGAATTCTCCAAAACTAATTTCAACGATCCAAACCGTCAAAATTGTTTGTATATGCTTGGAGATCACATCAGCAAAAAATCACAAAAAAAAAACATCCAGAGATCAAGTAACGGGACAAAGCTTTTCAACGGTTATAAACGAAAAATCACGATTTAACGGTTATTTTAGCTCCGATTTTGATTATTTTTTATAACTACACTCCTTGACCACATTTATCAATGAATTCCATCTGGTATACGTATAACATCAAACCACATTTGTTAGAAAAATA